CGCGTTTATCGTGTCGCTCTATCATCAAAATTGGCATATCAGCATTCCACAAATCATCATATAAATGTATGTCATGAAACAACACTATACGAGTAAACTTGCCACTACCTGCAGGAATTTTTATACAGAAATTTTGAAGGTTAAAGTTCTTTAGCATTCTGATGTCTGGATGCATTATAAGCTCATTCAATTTAGTATTTATTTCACTTGCATTCTCAGTCGTGATCCTATGTGCGTCTTCCACTATCTGATTGGCGTACTCCTGCACTAAGTCATGGGGCCAACTTTTTAGAGAGCAGAACTTGATAACTTTAACATTTTCCTTCACATCGCGTTTATTTATTCCTCGCAAACCGAGTTCTCTATCACGCAAAAACTGCACCATTGATATCTTTCTTGATTTTTCCTCCATTTTTAGCGGTTCAATTTGTTGCTTGTGTCCCGAATCTGTTGCTGCTTGGGTCTCGACTGAACTAGGCGCTGACGTAATACTCATGATTTTATATGTTTCAAAATGTGCAAAATATGCATACTTCTATGACCTTCATGATAGTATCTTGTTTCACATTTTTTCTGCGCATCTTACTGTCAACCACAAATCGATGCGATAGCACTTAAATGCTACATTGTGACGCATAAGAGAGAGAGAGATCTTACATGAATATTTCACTTATGTGCTACATTGTGACGCATAAGAGAAAGATCTTACATGAATACTTTTGGACTGCGCTTTTGATATAAATATTGGAATACACCGTTTCGGTAATCGTTTTTATGATTTGTGGTAGCCGTTATCGTTTTATTACCGTTTTTTTTCCGTTTTTTACCGTTCTTTGCCGTTTTTTATCGTTCTTTACCGTTCCTTTTCCGTTTTTTTACCATTCTTTACTGTTTCACTCCCGTTATTTACCGTTTCTTTACCGTTTCTTTACTGTTTCATTACTGTTTCTTTTCCGTTCTTTACCGTTTTTTACCGTTTCTTTACCGTTTTATTACCGTTTCATTGCCGTTCTTTACTGTTTCTTTACCGTTTCATTACCGTTTCATTACCGTTTCTTTTCCGTTCTTTACCGTTTTTTACCGTTTCTTTACCGTTTTATTACCGTTTCATTGCCGTTCTTTACTGTTTCTTTACCGTTTCATTACCGTTTCATTACCGTTTCTTTTCCGTTCTTTACCGTTTTTTACCGTTTCTTTACCGTTTTATTATCGTTTCATTGCCGTTATTTACCGTTTCTTTACTGTTTCTTTACCGTTTCATTACCGTTCTTTACCCGTTTCTTACCGTTTTTTGACTGTTTCATTACCGTTTTTTTACCGTTTCTTTACCGTTTCTTTACTGTTTCATTACTGTTTCTTTTCCGTTCTTTACCGTTTTTTACCGTTTCTTTACCGTTTTATTATCGTTTCATTGCCGTTATTTACCGTTTCTTTACTGTTTCTTTACCGTTTCATTACCGTTCTTTACCCGTTTCTTACCGTTTTTTGACTGTTTCATTACCGTTTTTTTACCGTTTCTTTACCGTTTCTTTACTGTTTCATTACTGTTTCTTTTCCGTTCTTTACCGTTTTTTACCGTTTCTTTACCGTTTTATTATCGTTTCATTGCCGTTATTTACCGTTTCTTTACTGTTTCTTTACCGTTTCATTACCGTTCTTTACCCGTTTCTTACCGTTTTTTGACTGTTTCATTACCGTTTTTTTACCGTTTCTTTACCGTTTCTTTACTGTTTCATTACTGTTTCTTTTCCGTTCTTTACCGTTTTTTACCGTTTCTTTACCGTTTTATTATCGTTTCATTGCCGTTATTTACCGTTTCTTTACTGTTTCTTTACCGTTTCATTACCGTTCTTTACCCGTTTCTTACCGTTTTTTGACTGTTTCATTACCGTTTTTTTACCGTTTCTTTACCGTTTCTTTACTGTTTCATTCCCGTTATTTACCGTTTCTTTACCGTTTTTACCGTTTTTTACCATTTAATTACCGTTTCTACCGTTCTTTACCATTTTTACCGTTTTTTTTTTTTTTACCGTTTTATTACCGTTTTATTGCCGTTCTTTACCGTTTCTTTACCAATTCATTACCGTTCTTTACCGTTTCTTGACCGTTTCATTGCCGTTCTTTACCGTTTCTTTTATATAACATATTATCCATGATACATAGCACGCAAACGCTTGCAAAATCTTGTCGCGGGAGCACAGTGTACGTGCTCATTAGTAATAAGAATATCATGTGCCATATTCTTTTTCTTGCGCATCTAATTGTCAAATGCATACGTTTGCAGAATATTAGAGTTTGCAGCTGTGACTAAAAAAAAATCACGCTGCGAAATGCGCGGGCGGCGCGGGCGGCGCGGACGGCGCGGACGGCGCAAAACCGCCGCAAAATCCGTCGCGGAAACCGCTGCGAAAAAACGGCCGCGAAAACCGCCGCGAAAAAACCGCCGCAGATCGGTAAAATGATCTATCGAAAGCAGATAGAAAAATATAATATCAGTAATTACCGATCATCGGTATTAGGTAAATGTGACAGTAAAAATTATGTAAAAATATATATATGTGCTGGTAAAAATTAAGTAATTAAATGTTGGTATATAATATCGGTAATAAATTACCGATCGTCGGTACTATCGATATTGTGTAATTATATGTTGGTACAACTTATATGTTGGTAAAAAATTATGTAATGAAATGTTATATAATATCGGTAAAAATT